CTCTCCAGCTGAATTTGAATGAACAGGGTGGCTTGCATTGATAAACTTTATCCCCATACTTCCTGTGTAACTGACATATATTTTTTTGAATGACAGGAGAGGTGCCCTCTACTTGTAGCATTCAGTTGTGTCAATTTATCCATTCTCTTGGTTAATTCATCTATTTTTGCTTCTAACCTCTTCTAAAATTTTATCTTGGGGATCTGACTCCAAATTCCGGATGCCAGCTATTGATGTTATGTGTGTGGAAGTTACATCCACCATCGTAACCATCATTAGCAATCTCTACTAACTTCTTTATGGGTGTATCCCCTCTACTGAGGCTAAGACCATACGAAAAGTAGAAGGCAAGCACTGGAGGAAAATATATCACACTAATCTGTTGGCTGTGCTTTCTCTGGCTAAGTGCTGCATGCAATGTAGGAATTGCAATGGTTTGCTGTCTGCTGTGGTTTCCTCATTGAGGAATTGGGACAGTTTCTTCCTTTGAGAAGATAGAAGTCTTTGCAATTAGTTTGTCTCTTGCTCTGTCATAAGAATTTACTGCAGATGGTAAAATGATTATTTCTGTAACTTCCTGGGCCTCCTCTTGGGTTAGTTTTGAAACTGCCAAATCGAATTTTCTTTTTTTGTGAGATAATTCCTCTCAATTCACAACCCAACTCAATTTGGCGTCCTGGGTAAGATGATAAACTACGTCCAACAGCAAGTCCTCTCATCAGGAGGTTTTAGGAAAGTGGAATCACCTCTTAATTGCTTGTGTTCCCAGATCCACCCTGACCCGGGGTATTAGCACCTGTTAGGGTCCTAGCTATGGGCAAATAGTTAACCCCAAAACTGAGGTAAAAAGCATTATAAAAGTGTAAAAATAGGTTTTAATACGAGAAATACTTTGTAAAAAATTATTACCAAAAATAAATTTAAAAAAACTATTGCCAGCAATACGTTTTTGAAAAAAAAAAAAAAAACTATTACCAGCAATACGTTTTTGAAAAAAAAAAAAGAAGACTATTACCAGCAATATGTTGTTGAAAATAATATTACCAGCTATACAATTTTGAGAAAAAAAAATATTTCCAAAAATAGATTTTTGACAAAACGAAAATATTACCAGAAAAAAAGTTGTTGGCATTAAATGACACATTGAGGTTGATATGGCATAAAACAAACTAAACCAAACCAACTCAATTTGTGAAAAAAAATAAGGCAGTGTCCACTTTCTTAATACAGTAGGTTAAATCCATTGACATAATGATGACACAATTCTCCTTACACATGGTGATTTAATTTCAAATCCTACAATGCAAGAAAATATCTATGAAAAAATAGTATAAGGGGAAAAATAAAATACTTTGAGAGGGCCAGTTGAATACATGTGAAGAAAAAAAATTGAATTAAATCTCAACCAATTATATGCCTGCTGCTATGGGTCAAAGAAGCACATGCTATACATCACGGTGGAAAGAGTGGAAGTAGGAGGCAATATGGTCTCCTTTGAAGCATGCCAAAATCAAACTCAGCAAAACCCAACACCATAAAAATATATTAAAACTGTTTTTTCATGTAACTACAAAAATATGTATAGCTGAAATTCATTATTATCATGTTGAAGAGCAACATGTGAAAAGGCGTGTTGGATACAATTAACCTATTTAATAACAGAAAGTGTACATGTGGTGAAAAAATAATAATATACTCCTGTGGTTCATAAAATATGGGAAATGTGACAAAAAGATATGATATTAAAATTAGCAAAAAACCATGTTAATCTGTTAGCCAGTTAATAAAAGTTGTATTTAATGTTGCTATATTCATGTAAAAGTTAAAATAAAGGCAAAAAGAAGCTAACAGAAGTGAATGAAATTGTTCTTTTATACAACTTCTGAATGAACAAGTGGATGGAGGAAAAAATTTATAAGTAAAAGTTGCTAGATTGAGATGTATTTAATGTGAACATAATGAAATTCCTTTTAAAGCACCAAGAAATGGTAATAATTTAGCATGTTAGATAAATATGAGGTTTTTGAGTTGTTAAACCTTTCTGTGAGAATAATCTTGTACTTTCTATTTTGACATTTACCTTGATAAAAAATGTTAAAACTGTATTTCATGAATTGACACAGGAAAGTCACTAGTTAATATTTCATTATTTTTCACACCGGGAACACTAGTTTATGGAGTTTTATGCAGGAATGAACATTTCATATTTGCATGCATTTAATGATGCACTATGGAAGAAAGGTTTATTCCCTCAGTTTTATTTCCCCCATTATTGGCATTATTATATCCATGATATAATAACACCATATTTCACAGACAGAACAGAATAGCTGGAAGAAAAAGGAATACCAAACATGTTTTATTCTTGGTGAGAGTTTTATGATGTGAAGTCATGCATATATTTATATAATTATATATGTAATAACAAACATTGTGTAAAAAAAAAAAAAAAAAATGTCTGGGACAGGGGACGCCTTACTTGTAATATTTCCTGAAGGGAAAACTAGTGTTACAGTGGTTTCTCTATGAACCTGGTGAGGCCATGTGGTTTTTCTGTAAGACCTACTGTTGTGGCCTAAGGATTTCCTTCTTCTCCAGGCTTTACATCACAACTGCTCTTTCACATGACCCTCAGGATTTGATCTCACTGAAAGGGAGATAATTGCCATTTGTATCTCTACACTTCCCTTCGTGTTCAATACAATGCTGATCCTATCAACTACACTTCTACAAATCATTTGACACGTTTCTACATTAATTTCAGAAAATTTATAAGAAATTGCTTGTTTTAATTCAAGATTTTTTTTTTTTTTCTTTTTCAATTTGAGCCTGTGTAAACAAAATTTTCAGTATACTGACAAGAAAAAGTCTGGGGGTGTTAGGTCTGGTAATCATGATGGCTACTCAATTGTTCCATGTTGTTCTATTGCCTCTGCTTGAAATTAAGATTTAACCATTCACAAATACGTAAGCCATAGTTAATTTTAATCCAACTTAAACTACTGTAATTTATTTTTGTTTAATAAAAGTTAATAAGTAAAAAAGGGCATTACCCTTGTCCATAAATAGTTGAATGCATTCAGTATACCAATTTAATGACTGAAAAAGAATATCAATATTTGTGTGGTGGGTGGGATTATATCTCTTAAAAGCATACATGACTTAAGTCATTTTAGTACAAGAGTAAATGACTAAAAGATGAGAGAAAAAGAAATACATTTTGGTTTAATATAAAATATTCAAATCTGCACAATGAACAACCAAATTTGTAGTTAGATCATTAAATGTATCCAAACATAATCGGGTAATGGGGCACTTTTTAAAAAAAATTGTTTGTTTTCCTTTCCCAATCTAAACTTAGGATTATTTTTGATAGCAACAGAATATGTTCTCCAAACCTGTCTCTTACCAAACAGAAGTATCGTTTGATTTTAACATGAAAGAAAGTCACTTGTTTGCTATTTTTGTGGAGGCCATATTAGTTCTCATTAAAAGAGGATCATTATATATAATTTAGTTTTTTGATGTTTTCTGCTTTCTTTCATTTTTGTGTCTTTCATTTCACTGTTCATTGAGTCTAAACAAACATTGCCTTGCTGGATATGACTGGGAATAAATTTCCTTCATTTTGATGAAACTTGAGAATCACTAATTTGTTTTGGCTCTCTTCTGATTCTGAAACCCTAACCAAATTTAAGAACAGTTTGTAGTCATGTGTACACAAAACAAATGTCACAAAATGTCTCTCAGATGAAGAATAGTTTGATATAAATTCCCAAAAGTATTTTGGACTAGCACTACAGAATCACAAACAACTGCAACAAAAAATTAAAACCACATCTTTTGAGGACTATCAACAGCAGCAACAACTAAAATGGATAGCACATGTAACTCAAAGAGAAAATAATGAAGATGTTGACATTCTACACGGCTTCAAATGAAAGGTTAGAAAGGAAACCTTCATCAATACTGGAAAGAGCTACTGGACTTGATTTTTGCCTGAAAAATTGTTTTAAGAGTGAGATTTTATAAATTTCAACCAAAAGCAGTACTGACAGCTCGGTCAATGAATGCCAAATGTTTTCTTGTAGGTAAACGGCTAATATTACCATTAGAGTGAAAATGAACTCTTGCTTATTCGATTTTAACCACATTGATAATTTTTATGCTAATCACACATCCTGCAATAAGTTTTCTGATGTGCAAAATTATGAAATAAGATTTGATTGAAATTCACAATTTATAAAACAAACTTTCATATTTAATGTGCAACTCTTTTAGGATTACTTATTCTCACTTGAAAATCGATTTATCTCAGATAAGTGTACAGTCACTATGTCAACAATGTAAGATATGATGTAGATATTAATTTCTAGCCTTTTATTCTCCAAGTTATAAGAAATTTATTAAAGTTATATTGCCAATATTCTCCAAATTAAATTCATATCAATGTTTATTCAATAAGTTAATGAGAAAAATTGTTAAATATATAGAAAAGTCAAATTTTGGATAAGAATCTGGTTAGTGGTAAATATATTAGACAATTTTGAAAACTTTTATTTTGACACATTTCACCAATTCATTGGCATCATGAGAAAAAGTTTTCTGATGACAGTGAAACATGTAAAAATAGAAATTTTTTGTAAATATATCTTATTTCTTTGACAATTTGCATTAAATTTATGCACCTTGTGGCGATTTTTACTTGTGAAAAGAAAATAGCTGTGTGTGTGTAAACCAGGTTGAAGGTTTTCAGACTATAAATTAATTTTATTACATTAAATTATATTTAACACAAAATGACAATGGAAAAAAATAATCACTACAAAAAAATTAATAACAATTGTCCATGAGACCCTTGCCCTCAACAATGATTCTTGCTAATCTTGTGAGGGTTATTTTCTCTTTAAAAATATTGCTTAATTTTCTTTTAAACCTGTATTATAATAATTTATTAATATCCCTATTGAAATTTGAAATATTATGTTACTCTGCTTCAGGGAACTTTGAACCCTAAAACGGGCCGCCTGATAGGGGTAGGTAGCCATCTTGCTTGAGTTTGGTATTGTTTTTTTATTATTGGAGTGAATAATAACTCTTGATGCTTTTTCTTTGCTTTATAATGATGTCTCTCTTAATTTTGAATTTTAATAAATATATATCTATTTCACTGCTGAAAAATATAAACCATCTTAACAAATTTGAGGAAAAAAAAACTGTCCTCTCTGGTTGATTTGTAATAAATTAAGTCACCATTAACAATGGTTGATCAAATTTGCTGTGTTTTTACCAATGCCTTGTGGAATGATGAAAAGTAACTCCTTGTTTATTACCTGCATTCCCAAATTTGCTGTTTTTGATTCTTTGTAGAATTAGAAAAATAATAGTCTACCTCTTAAAATTTGCTGTGATTTGCGCTTTTATTGATTTATTTTTAATAATTTCTGCTGTTTTTTTATTCACAAAATTCTTGCTTTTCACACTTTGTAAGTGAAATTGTCATTCATTTCTTTCCCCTCTAAATTTGCTGAAATAATAGTTTTTTAAGAGACTATATTTCAGTAACATGAAATGAAAACAACTGTTTTAATACTGAAGATTTTTTTCTTTTAAAGTCGAATTTTCGGTTTTGTTGCCCAGATATGATGAAATTGAAGCAGATTGATGTTGCTTAAGAGAAGAAAAGTAAATTATGAATAATCCATTGCAACATCTACAAAATAGAATGAAAGAATATGTTTTATTTATGACTAAAATGTTTGTTGAATTACAATCAATTTTGTTGCAGCTCAGGACATATTTTAAGGAGACTGACTGTTGATTATAGTTGAGAACATGAAGCAGAATTTATTATTAGGCAACATAACAATATGCACAATGTGGATGAAACTGTGTTGGTAGGTGTGATACAACAAAGAAGAAAGGTCTCTTTTGATGGGGTGACATACTTGCCAGTAGAACTCTCTCACATGGTGTATTCTCTTGGCTGGCACCATAATGCTAGTAGCAGTTCAACTGTCAAATCATCACTCCCTGACTTCTACTGAGCTTGTCTTTTATGGATCACATAGTACACTGGACGCACATGATCTACATGTCTAAATATCCTAGTTCCAGCATGTACTTGCTTTCTCTCAAATCAAAGTCCTGCATGCCAAAGACAAATTCTCTTTTATCAAGAATAAAGCACTGTTCACCGTTTCCACCATTATACTCTAATTCTTGTTCACTATGTCTGCCACACTTCCCACCCTGATATCATGGTCACACAAATAACAGTATGGATGCTGGTTACTCCTCTGAAAGGGGATTGTCTGAACTTTTTCCTCAGAGAAGCTCTCAGAAGAGTTGTCAAGGTTAGTAGTTGAGTTCTCAGGTGAATCGTTGATCTCACATAATATGGGCTCAATCAGCAACTAGCTTTCAGACAATTCATTATCACTTGCCAATGGGGTTGTTTTGAAGGCAGGGCAGAGATCCCTCACATGGCATGCGATCCATCAACCAATACAGAATGCTCACTGACAATATCGGTGACATGCCCTTTTTGGAAGTTGGTGGTACATTGGCTATTAGGAAGCTTTACCCAGATGGGGTTCCCCATTCCATGTGGTCTGCACACTTCTCTCTTTGATCAGGCAGATACATGCCATTGATCCCTTTGATTTGTACTCAGTAGCTGTAGATCATATTGGCAGATGCACTTGTAGCAGACATGTTGTCCTTTGGTGTAATGTTATATCTGTATGCCACTTTCATGACTGTACACTGCTTTTTGGTAGTCATTTTATTTACAATTTGGTGGCACCTTTCTGCTAAGCCATTGCCACATGCATGCATCACAACTGAAGCTGGACCCTCCATTTTTACAGGAAGCACTCAAACTGTCTGCTGCAGAAGGTAGTGTCATCAGTACGAATTTCCTCTGGTCGTCCTCATTTATAAATTACTGACTCTAATTGGCAGATGACACTCAAAGTGTCCTGCTGCAGCAATGTTTGCCAGACCATGAATTTAGTGTGTCCGCAATCTATAAGCATGAGAAAATGCTGGCATAATGGGTTATATCCATACCTAGTCTATTCCAAGTGCTGTTTATCCCCAGCTTCGCTTTTCTCTGGTTCCCAGACTCCATGAATTCAAGCGCCCTACGAGGCTGGCATCCCGCTCTCACCCTTACACTGTAGAAACCTTCAAATGTAGCCGTCTCTTCTACTCCAATATCTTCATACCTCGCACCTCTCGCCAGTGGAACACCCTCCCCAATTACTGTTTCCCTGAAAGCTATAATCTCCAACTATTCAAATGTAATGTCAATCGACATCTCCAATTACCTTGATCTACCCACTATCCTTCTCCTCTTCCTTTCTCCTATCACTCTTATCTGCTCTCGCTCCAAATCTTCCGCAACCCCCTGCATCCTAGTGGCTTCACGCCTTGCTTGGGGCACAATGTTTAAAAAAAAAAAAAAATTTGATTTGTGCAGGGTCTATTGACTATGGAACTTATGGCACTTGTGGACACTGATGTATTGGTCGACTGCACAAATTAACATGTCCTTCTTACACTGGGGTGCCTGCTGTGATGGTGTATTTTCATTATCTTGCATATTGGTGGTACTGGTTCAACATTCTTTTTTTTTATGGCGTCGCGAATCGATCTGTCAGCTAGTTTGCAGTTTAATGTTACCAATGTTATATCAAGGAACAGGTCATATTTAGCGACCAGTTTCTTAATAGTGTCCAATCTTCTGATCAGCATCTCACTAGTTGCCTTGGTGCATACCCTGGCTTTGCCTGTCAAGGTATCTGACACCCAATGGAATATGCATAAGGAGTCAGTCTGTATATGCAAGTTTTAACCCACCACTGGAGTATCAAGTTGATGTCTTTCAGTAGAGTGTCCAGCTCTGCCAGGTTAATATGTGAGGGTCACTTATTGGTCACAATCAGCATTCATCCTCAATTGCAGTTCCATCCTTCTCCAATAAGACTCCATTCACCAGGGACCTTTCATCGACTCACATGTTCGTTTCTTCTGCATGCACACATCAATCTCCTGGCAGAGTCATTCTTCTTTATTTTCACTATGGTCTCCATCACTATGCAAATAAGCAGATTGTCAATCATCTCATCATCCCAACCCTTGGTGACCGCACTTTCCCTGTGCTTCATGGTGCCTGCCACCACACAGAGCCATCTGCACACCAGTAGGTGCCCATAAGCCTTCCACATAAGGAAAAAAATGACTCATCTTGTTAAGATGTTAGATACTTCTGGAACTGCAGTTCTCTGTCTCCATTGCTAGGTTCCTTGCTCCCCTTGAACATCCAAGCCCAATACATGGGTGCCATCTTTCAGTCATGCTGGATCCTTGCAGATCAAGCCAAACTGGGCCACTTTAGCTCTTACCTGCAGTAGTGATACAATGTTTTTTATATAAATGTCATCAAGATATGCTGATGTTCCCTCTTTTACTGTTTCTTGCCTTTATTATCTGCAGGGCTACATTTAATCCAAAGCCCAGAGGTAAGACAGTACCTTCTGTCAGCAAACACCACTATCTGAAATGGCCACAATGACTAACTGACTTGGATTTGCAAATAGGCCTTTCTCAAATCCAAAGAGACATTAGATTCATGCTGACACCTTTCCCATAGTTTGATGGCACAAATATCAGCATCAGCCGTAAATCCTTTGACACATTGGTTCACTTCCCAGTAACCCATTATGGGCCTCACTTTTGATTTGTTTGGCTGCACAATCACCATCAACTGGATCAGGCCTTTAGGAGGGCCAAGTTTTCTATGAGGGTAGCGAATCAACCAGCCATCTTTAGTCCATACACAGAGCTCCTTTTCATACACAGGTCTTATGTGATCAGGCACATGGTATTCAGCTACACGGTTTTGTAGCATGACTGATTCCCTGTCTCCTATCCACTGCTACTAGATGGTCCAGGTCTTCTGATGCTGTTCAAATTCAACACTGAAGTCAGGTTGGTCCATCTTGAGTGCTGCACACATGGAGTGGGGAGGGGCTCCTTCCAAAACTTCACTGTTCCAGTCTGCATGAAGAGAACCCTACCCAAAGCTCAGATCAAAGGTTAATGGCTTCTCATGTACCACTAGTGCTTCGGCATCAAGGGAATTCCCAGTGTCTGCACAGATCGTCACTACCCACATCCTGTGACATACACACGTTTCATCATTTATGGTGGTCACTCTGATGCTACTCTTCCAAGTGTGGCAAAGTCCTGCATACAGTATATTACAAGAGCAGCCAAAATTGAGGAGTGCTAAGCACGGCATCTCATTGATGTGGATTTGGATGACCAGTAGTATCTCGTATGTTGTCTGGTGAAGAGATCAATGCCATTTTGTCCCCAGCCCCATTTTGGGCAGTCTTGAGCCATGTGTTCAGCCTCATTGCTTGGTTTCTACCTGTGCAATTCCTTGCCACATGGCTCTGAACATTGCATTCGCAGCAGACAATTCCAGTGCATGGGCCTGCCCAGAGGAAAGCTCTAACACTATTTTGGTTTGCTTGTGCAGCCACGATAGGTTCATCTTTGCAGAATCATCTTTCTGTATTGTCCTGGCCCTGCTAAGAATGCATATGCTAATACTCATTCAGGCTGTCCACCAAACAGGATTGCCAGCTTCTTCACTGCAGTCAAATAAATGTCTACAGATTTGCCCAGCTGCAAATTCTGTGCTACAAATTGTTCATAGGCAATGCAGACTTCAATGGCAAATGCCATGTAGAGTACCACCTTGATTCTAGCTGGATCTTCTTTCTCCTTACCACTAAGCTGTTGATATATAATGAATGCACTGCCAGTCAGTTGTAGAGGAATCACATGCTCAGTGCATTTCACCCTGCACGGGCACGGAGTAATTTGACTTTTTCTACCCATTCCAACATGGGTAGTACCATCAAACTCTGGGATGAGTTTTAAGTCAACGTTGTCCCCCATTTTGCCAAAGTAGCTTGTGATACAACAAAAAAAAAAGGTCTCTTTTGACAGGGCAACA